GGATAAGATTCAAACGGTTCCACGTGGTGTTTTGAAATTCATTCCAACTGTGGGCTGAGTGACCTGCAGGTTGGACAGACTGCCAAAGTCCAAACGCTTCAGCATTTCCTTAGTGTCTGGATCCACTTCCATAATCTCCTGGCCCAAGGCCGAGGGCTCAGGAACATAAGTCTCTCTCCCTTCTCTCTCCTCGTCCTGCAGCTTGATGGAGAGCCCTCTCACAGGGTTCCTGAGTCCTCCTCGTCAAGTGTGACATGGCCTGCAAGTTGCGGAGCTTCTTGCTGGGAATAATGGCGGTCTCTTCACACATGCACTTGTTGGTGCGGAAGTCGTTACCCAGGCGTGTGCAGTGTTTCTCAATGGTGACCTGCGCCGCCTTCTTCACGGTTTTGGTGCGAACTCGGCCCATGTGGGAGGGTCCGTAATAAAGGAGGGATTACAGCTTTTAGCTTTCCTGCACAACTTTGAGTAACTCCAGTATCCATTTGAATTCCTGAGTACTTAGGTTAAAACTTCCTGATAAAAACTGTATTACTATTTCAACAAGAGGCTCCTGATTTTTGGAATCAATAAACTGCTGTGAGGGCTTCTGAGCCTTTTCTTGGTCAGCCAAACTGACTGCAGCGAGAGCAGAGGCTGGGCTTTTGCAAGTTTGCCCAGGTCTGATTTCCTGCCGTGAGGCTGGGGATACCTGTGACTGTCGCTATTCAAAGAGTCTTTTCTGGGTTAGGAAGAGGCTTTGCCTTCTGTGCTTTGTTGGGCAGGGCTTGGATCTACCTCCTTTCTCTATTTCCCTGCTGGGAAGCCTTTGTAATGGAAATCTCTTATTGTTGAATCTTGAGCAACATTGACTTGCCCAGTCAGTTTCTTTCCTGCAGCGGGGGCAAAGTCCAGGTTCTTTTAAACCTGAACTCGGCAGACTTAGCCCAGGCTCAGACACAGGCCTCAGCCCACTCTTTATGGCCAGGCTGATTGGCCTGCGCACTCTACATTCTCTTTGAAGATGACCTATCTTTCCGCAACTAGAGCGTTTTCCTTCAGCCCACCAGATTCTATGTTGCCAAGACTCTGAAAGAGCAAGGCAAACTTTGGTCATAGCTCTCCAGTCAGCAGGAATCCAGCACTCAGACTCTTCCACAGATCTTATCATACTAATTATAAAGGGAGAGTCTGGATCATAGTTAGATACAGTGTGCTTGAGATCTCTCAGTGGCTTAAAGGGAAAGGCAGCATGCCACCGTTCTTGAATACCTTGTGGGTGCTGCTCATTAGGCTGTCTGTCAATAACTCTAACGGGATAAGCCATTCTAAATTCTAAATCTCCTTCCTGAGCTATACCTCTCTTCACCTGTGAAAGCAAAGGTGCCTTCCTATTCCCTGCCTCTTTGCTTCTCGCTTCCTAAACCTCACCTTCTATGTTAAGTCTCTCCACTTGCATTTCTTTGGATCTAAACTCATCTCTGCCTCCAGCACTGACTTGCTTGATTGTATTGATTCCCTACGCTACACTCTGGCAGTGGTGGGGCAGATGCTTCTAGTGTGATATCTCCTGATGCAGACTTTAAAATCTTCTCATCTGCCTGATAATCATGCTGCCTCTTTCTCACCTGGTTTAAGTCTGTGTAGCTTTGAGGCTTCTCACTACTCTGCTGGTTTTCTCTGCTGTCTCTACCTGCAGAGGCTCCAACATTGTTTTAATCTGCACCCAGAATGCCCAGGTCTCCATGGGTATGCTCTATCCCTCTCTGTGGGCCTTTCTTAAATTAATGGCTATCATATGCCAGATCTCCATATCAAAGGTTCCTGACTCCGGAGAAGAAGGATTACATTTCTTTATCACTTGAAGAAACTCTTTCATTCTCTTGTTCGTTACCACTACATTTTGTTTCTTCAAGAGGCGGCAAAGAATGATACCGTACTCTGTATCCTTGCTCTTTGCCTGACCCATATCTCACTTGGACTAAAAAAAATACACTAACGAAAATAAACTCAAAAAATATTTTCCTGATTCACCCTCTCTGTCTAATGAGGCCATACAATTGCTACACGGGATATAACTCAAAAGAGTTATTTTCTTACTGGGCCCCACATGATGGACGCCATATGTCAGGGGTACCAGTCCCTAACAAATTATCACAGGCCTGCAGGTGCAATTGCACGGCGATAATTAGTAAAGCTTATGGTAGAGTCATAGAGAGCATGAGGGAGAAGAGAGAGTGAAATAATGGAGTCAGACACATTGTATGGTAGCATGCTCACCTCAGCTCCTCTTGGTGGTGCAGGGCTGGAGAGAGAGCAGGA